TGAGATGTCCCCCAATTCCCATATTACAAATACCATGACAAGCTTATACTAAATGAAAAACAGTCTCCCCATCCCCGCCCAACCAAGCTACATCCGCGCAGCTCTACATGCCGGCAAACACGTCCTAAGCGAGAAGCCCATCGCGGGTGATCTCAGCACCGCCCGGGCTCTCTTCTCAGAGTACCAGGCTCTCGAGACGAAGCCACTCTGGGGCGTAGCGGAGAACTGGCGCTTCTTGGGGAAGTTCACGCGGGTAGCTGAGGAAGTTCGGAAGTTGGGGAGTGTGAAGGCTTTTAGGGTTGGTGTGAGGACGTTGATTGGGGAGGGGTCGAAGTATCATCGTACGTTGTTTATTCTTTACTTTACTTTCTTCTTCTTCATTAAGAAGGGTGTGGGTAAGCTAATACTATCGCAGAAACCGAATGGCGTCGCAAACCCACGTACAAGGGTGGATTCGTCCTCGATGGAGGAGTCCACGCCATTGCTGGATTGAGACTCATTCTTGGTAAGGAGGATGCTATGGCGGCTGTATCGGCTATGATGGGATTGCAGAGGGAGCATCTGGCGCCGGTGGATACGCTCGATGCGGTGGTTAAGACTAAGTCTGGGGCTAATGGGGTGGTGTCGTTGTCGTATGGGGCTGCTGTCGATGAGACGATCTTTGAGTTTAGTTGTGAGCGCGGTGTGGTTAAGTTGGATCGGGATACGGTGACGGTTAGTGGTGGTGAGTCGTTTGAGGTGCCGTATGAGGGACGGGGAGTGAATTATGAGGTGGCTGCGTTTGGGGAGTCGATATTGAAGGGACAGTTGGAGGAGAGGCTGCGGCCGGAGGAGGCTTTGGCTGATTTGGAGGTTATGGAGGGGATGTTTGTGAGTGAGGGTGGGAAGGTGCTGTTGGATTTGCAGTGATGATATAGATTAGGCTTGTATATCTTTTTGTTATGCTTGAGACTTTCGTCTGTCAACAATTTCGCTCAATTCATTGTTTAGTTGTCTCAACGGGTGGCCTACACGCGCCTCTACCGCCGGGAGATGTATGGAATTCTTACAGCCAAATAAAAGGAAATCGTCGCATATAGGGCAAAAAGCACATGGATGTCCAACAGTATACGAGCACAGAAGACAATAATCGGGATATTTTTCAGATGGTCCGCAGAGCCTGCAGTTTCGACAGAGGAGTGGGCCTGCACGTTCGGTGGAGATGTCGGCCTCATCCATCTGGCCCTTTGTAAGTAGCGCGATCTGATCATGCCCTCTGCTTCGTGCCTTGAATGCAGCATCATCGCCCCATTTGTCAGCAGCGTCTGGGTGGCCCCCAGCTTCAAAAATCTGCTTAACAAAAGCTTCGTCTCCCGTCCTCGCAGCCCACCAAAGGGGAGTTCTGCCATATCTAGGATCACGAAGGTGCAGATTAGCTCCATTTTTGAGAAGTATCTGGATGATCGTTTTGCGATCAAACACTGTAGCAGCCAACAGTGCCGTCCAGCCATCACGGTCCTGGCTATCCACATCAATGTCTCTTCTCAACAATGCTTCCACCATTGAATCACGACCCTGCGCTGCTGCCCATACCAATGGAGGTCGATCATATTTTAGATCAGTGAAGTTAGGGTCAGCACCACAGTCTAGTAACAACACGAACATGGGGTGATCGTCTTGCTGGATTGCGGAGATTAATGGTGATATTCCTCGAAAATTTTTGCCCTGAAGGTCAGTTCTCACATCCGGACAAGCTCCATTGTCTAATAGTACTCTAACAACCTCGAGATCATAGCAAAAAAAAGTGAGCAACACCGGAGTTGCGCCGACATCATTCATGTGGTTCGGATCAAATCCATAGTCGAGCAATAATTGGACCACTGTCACATCCCCACCTCTGACTGCGTTGAACAACGGCGTCTGGCCTGTATCATCCTTGCTAAGAGGATTTACCCCCTTGGCCAGCAATAGCTTAACAACTTCTGCACATCCCTGACTAGCGGCCCAGTGGAGTGCGGTCCAGCCATACTTCATGCCTTTGCCATTAGGGTCACAATCCGCCTCTAGTAGAAGCTCAACAACCATCACTTGGCTGTACAGTGTGGTTCCCTCCATTTGGCGTCCTGCATTCCCATTGCGATTACTGTAAGGGTCGTAGCCTTCTTTGCAAGCTAATATTAAAGGAGTTTGGCCATCGTGGCTATTCAGATGAGCACTGGCTCCATTGTTCAGTAGTAAGCTCACAACTTCAAAGTGGCCCTTCTCTGCTGCTAGTGCCAGAGGAGTAAATCCCCAATGGTCCTGTTCATTAAGAACGAGTCCTTGGTCGATCAAAAATCGGGTTGCTCCCTCCTGGTCATTCTCTGCCGCCCAAAACAATGGGGATCTGTTGGTAGCATCAAGGGCGTTATAGGGATATCCGGCTTCTATTAGCCCCCTCAGCGCACTTTCCGACCCAAGATATGCAGCCAAGTGAGCTTTCGTCACAGTTTCTGGCATCTGATTGAGCCGTTCAAAAACCTCATCGTTTTGCCTTCTAGTGACTAAGGTTTGAGCCCAAGCCCAAATCTTCTCGTCATGCAGAAGACCGCATACCAATCCTGGTTCTGCAAGGGCGTGCTGCAAATGATAACCCCAATTTTCAGTACAGTAGCCAGAAAATTGCAAATCTTCCACGAGTAACTCTGCTCGTGGCTGAAAGGAATGCAACAAGTATGCCATGCAGGCTCTTGCCATGTCATAGTGCGCTCGGGGAAACCACTTTGTCTGGGATCTCTCGAAATACTCCTGTGCGGTATGGTGGACTAAGCGAATGATACGACACTTTTCGTCTATAGTCACCAAGCCAGCACAAACAGCTACCATGTCTTGCGTGTCAGGAAGATTATCTGGATCAAACTCTGCCTCGTCGGGCTCGACTGCAAGGCCAAATTGGAGCTGTTCTATCGTCAGCGGCACCTGAGCGCAGGTGATCCATGCAAGAATCTGAAATGCCAACTCCCTTTCTCCCGCCGTCTTCCCATTTATCCGCTCCATGGCTTCTTCATATGCAACATCGTACGCGTCAGTTCCAGTTGGCAGTTTTTTGTTGTTTTTTTAACCGCCGTTACCGAGAGTTTTCCTCTCAATGAGTCAAGGTGGAGTTGAGCAAGAAGAAACCTATGAATGTCAGTGCAAGAGCGGATTTTCTTAATGAGACACATGGTGGAACATACATTCCATCCACTGTTTTCGTAATTGCTTCGACTATTTCGTCCTGTAGCCTATTTTTGCCTAGCACAACCCGTGACAGATCGGACATGTGACCTCGCAGATACGTCTCTACATCTTCAGCGGCAGCAGAAATTTCTTGTTGTAAGCAACCATCGAATGCCGACTGGATGACCGGGCTATGTCGTGACGTAGCGAATATGCTAACTGTGCTGTTGCTCTGCAGACGAAATAACTCGGATAACAGCCTGCGTAGCGCTTCATCCCTAGATGAATATTCATCAAGGGCGTCCACCACTATGAAGATCCTCGAGAAGTGACCAAGCAGAAAGGATAGGCTCTCGAAAAGTTCGTCGAGTTTCGGCCGTGTCTGACGTTTCCTGTGTTGCGCATATAGCGTCTTTATATCCTCGGGAAGGGACGACATTCTTTGACACAATTGCTTTATCAGACTCGCAAATATATCGTCCACACTCTGCTCATGATGGCGCCGAAAGTTGCAGTATATGTAGGCGAGACCAACACTTCGGTCGTGTTCACACTTCTCTTCAAGATGTTTGATGACAATAGCAGTAAGCATTGTCTTTCTAGCTCCAGGTATGCCCGTGCACAGGATATTTTTATTTTCGTTGTTAATCCACTGCTGAAACTTGTCTGTGCCTAGTAACCACTTACCGGTACCCTCTTGCCGACGTTCGAGATATTCACCTTGCTGAGTTGCATAGTTGACGGTCGTAAGCCATTCAAGGCGTTTATGCTGAGCTTTGTCTTCCATGGTGTTGTTAACTCGGTGAACGAGCTCTTTTGTAGTAAAGGCTACTTGACTATTTTCGGAAGTTGTGAGCACTCGCCTTCCTGGGCTACTATGAACCCATACCTAGTCAGACTAGTACTGAAGAGATTAAAGATTTGAACATTGGACTGTATCCTCTGACAAATCTCAGCCATCTCAGCTTGGTCCCATTTGAGTCTTTTCCAGACGCGACGACAGGTGCCCCCTAGGCTGTTAGTGCGAGGGTCCAACTCCTGGTATTCGTCTAATTTGCTGAGTAATTCATTCAGTCCACTACGGCAAGAGCGAGAGATTTCGTCTAGGCGTTTCTCCTGCTGGGTATCAAGCTCCGCTTGCTCGTAGATGTCTTTGATATCGCGGAGGACATTGCACAAGGTCTTTGAACTGGCGACATGTAAGTCTCAGAAAAGACGCGCATGGTATTGATCCTTACGCTTCTGAAATATGTCTGAATTGGTCTGGTGCACTAACAAAGCGCACCCTGATGGCCTTGGCGAGTTTCACTACAGCGAGGAAGTCCCCGACACCATATCCGAAGCTCATGGTGCAGCTTGAAGGGGGCAACCGCTTGTTTGACAGAAGAAGGGAATGACAGAATCTCAATGAAAATATTTATTTGTTAATCGCCTTGCGTTGCTCACCAAGTTCATGGAAGAGGAGTCATCCCTTATATGGATAACGCTGCCCGATGGCAAGCGCCGGCATTGTGTACTACAGATTGCAGCCTCGCGGAAAGAGGGGACACTGTCCCGAAAGCCATCACGGTTGAACAAGGCAAAGCTATAAGTGTCAGCTGCCTGTTTCATGTATGACTGTAGGCATTGACCTTGTAACTAACTTGCTCAATTGCACAGATGGAACACAAGCATCGCGAATGCGACGGGGCGGTGCTGCTGCTGTACTGCGGAGGCGGAAGTCATAGTAGAATCACAGCATATATACGCTATTCCTGATATGGAATGGCACAAGGCAAGCTTATCCACCGCACTAAGTAGCCTGAGTCAGCAGTACCGGCAAAATGCAGGGCAAGCGTAATGAGCCCTAACGCACCGAGAGCAGTTAGACTCGCTAAGCGAGCCACTAGCTCGACTCTCTCGGGCGGCCAAACCTGAGCGCGAATTTTCGAGATCGATTTCGACCCGTACGACAACTCCCAGCGCCAGCCCGCGAGACGACGACAAGGTATGTGATATTATTGCCAGCTGCTTGCCTGTTGCATGCTAATTGAGAACAGATGGTCCTCGCAAAGAAGCACGTCCCCATCGTCAAGAAGCGTATGTCCTTTCTTTTCTCCCTGCTAGTCCCAGCCCAGTCCAGTTCCCAGCCAGAGTACGATCCGTCAGTTGTCAGTCGTCCAGCAAGCATGAGGAATATATACGATGCGATGGAATGAGAAATCAGACGATCAGAGCGAACGAATCAATTTTTCTATATTTCTTATGGCGAAAGAACGATGGCGAACGACGAACTTGATCGGCGAAGAAGTTATCACAAGCGACCGAAATTTCGATTCGATCTGGACGAAGATATTTACACACCAACAACATGAATTGACAAGTGCTTGCTGGACCACGGACATACAGCCGGATTGAACTAAAAACACACATACACACGTCGTCAGGACGAACGACCCGACTAACATCAAACTCCTTCCAGGCACCAAGCGTTTCTGGCGCCACCAGTCCGACCGCTTCAAGTGCGTGCCGGAGTCATGGCGCAAGCCCAAGGGTATCGACAACCGCGTCCGTAGACGCTTCCGTGGCAACATCCCCATGCCCTCCATCGGCTACGGATCCAACAAGAAGACCAAGCACATGATGCCCTCCGGCCACAAGGCTTTCCTCGTCCACAACCCCAAGGACGTTGAGCTCCTGTTGATGCACAACCGCACCTACGCCGCTGAGTACGTCCGCACCTCTGCCTTTGGCAGACTACATCTACATGAATAAAATGTTAATAAATTGAACAGGATCGCCAGCGCCGTCTCCTCCCGCAAGCGCGTCGACATCATCGCCAAGGCCAAGGCTCTCGGCGTCAAGGTCACCAACCCCAAGGGCCGCGTCACCACCGAGGCTTAAATGGATATGGAATGAATGTAAAGAAAGCCCAAGAAATTTCATCATTTTCATTTTCATTTTTCATTAAAACTCTTTTTCCACTTTATACCAACCAAATGGGAAAACCAACCACTTTCGGGGGACATTAAAAAAAGCAAACAACAGGCAACTACTACTACGTGGTGGTTGTTTGTTAATTTGTGATCTTGGGGACTTGCGGAGCCTTGAATCATCGCATCTTCTCTCTAATGTGGGCTTTGGCTTTGTGCGTGTGTGTGACGTTGACGACGTATGTGCTGGATTGCAAGCGTTTCCATTTGTCATGGGGGCGCTTGTGGTCGTGGCTGGTGCTGCCAGTCTGGGAATAAAAATCTAAATCTTATGAAGACTTTTTTGATGACCGAGGGTTGTATATTGTAGCTTCGTAATTGGTCCCATTTGGTGGTTTATCCTATTATGTAGACTATAGCTACGTAAATGACCTTGTTCTTTTTGACAAGCAAAGCAAGCTGTCATTGTATATGCGTAGTCTTACCCCGCAGATGGAACGGGGTTCGTCTGATATGTCCAATTTGAAGTGGCAGATGAAACTTTGTCTATGGTGGTATCAAGTAAACGAATCCAACTATGTGACAAGATGTAGTCCGTCCTTCATCATCTCAACATGTCTAAAATCTCTAATTGCAACTGCAAGTAACGCCATATCATGCACCAAGTAAATAACGTGTTTATCATGCAGCCGCCTGCGCAGCAGCATCTGCCTTCCTACCAGAAGAGATATCGACGAGGCCAACACCCTGCACAAGAGCAGGGATGTTCGTCTCCGAGCCATCCTCCGCGCCAGGCAAAACAGCATGTCCGATAATGATCTCCTCTTCTTCAGGTCCAAACACCCAGTCGGGCATCTCCCGCGGTCCCTCCACGCCATCAGGCGGCAGGGCCCAGGTAGGCATCTTGCTAGTGTATTTCCAGCCCTCCTCTTTGTCAGAGTATGCCGCGGCGTGGAGGAAAATACCTAGATCCTCAGGTCTAGGGTCCGAGTACAGCTCTGTGTCGCAGATCTTGCACCTCTCGCCGGACAACATTTCACCTTTGCGCTTGTGGTATCTCTCCACGGCGGCTTCGTGCTCGCGCGACATGATCTCCTCCACGACGGAGTTGTCCGTGCCTGGCGGTACCATAGGCACAGTGGTAAGGTGCGTCCGGTAGCTTACGGTGTCGGGGACTTCGGTCTTGCCAATGTTACATAGCTTATCGATAAGCTCGTTGTCGCGCTCGTCGCTGGTGTCGTTCTTGCCGAGATCCGGTCCAAAGACTTTGCGGTTGGAGTAGATGGGATCGTTCGAGATCGGGTGTCCGAGGAACTGAAGGTGCACACGGATCTGATGCGTGCGGCCGGTCAAGGGCAGACAGTGGACGATACTGTATCCTTCGTCTTCGTTGGTGTAGACCGGAGGCGGAGTCGCCACCCGTCCGTCTGCATCGGGGGCGCTCTGAGGCTCCGGAGCTTGAGGCGGGACGTACGCCAGACGACGGAACTTGGTCTTTGCCTCCTTGCCAGTGGCGCGAACGCGGTTCAGGCCTACCTTCGGGCTCACGGACATGATGGGCTGGTCGCAGACAATGACACCATCGGGGAACTTTCCCTTGACGCGCGCCACATACTCCTTCTGAAGGGTGCGGGCCTTGAGCTTGCCGGTCATGTTTTCTGCAGCCTTCGGGGTCTTTCCGAGGAACATGACTCCGGAGGTGAGTCGGTCCAGACGGTTGCAGGGTCGTGGGACCCATTCCGGATAGCGTTGAGAGCGCATGATCTCGAGCACGGAGTTGTAGTGGTAGCGACCGGCGGAGTGGACGGGCACGCCGGCGGGCTTATCAATGACAATCAGATCGTCATCCTCGTGGATAATACCAATCTCTTTCCCGGTGACGGGGGGTTCGTGACGGTGCAGGGTATGCGAGATGATCTGGCCGTTCTTGACGACGGTGTTGGGACCAGCAGGCGTGCCGTTGACAGCGACAAGGCCATCTTGTAGGGCTTTCCTCTGCAGTCCAGAAAACCATGTCAGTATATGGTTCGTCAAAGAATAGCCAAGAGATGGGAGCGTACGTAGTACTCTGCGGGACGATCGCGAAACTCCGACAGGAAAATGTCCACCAATTCACGACCCCGCCAGCGCTCCTTGCAGAAAGTGTTGTAGGTGTAGTGGTATGGCTTCACCCGACGCAGGCCGCCTTCAAGATAGTATGGTGCAGGCCATGGGTCGCAGGGCGTGATGGCCACCTCAGGGGGCTCCTGAACCGGGTCAGGAGGTGGGACTTGCAGAGTGGTGTCGACGGGCACGAGAGACATGATGGGCGGAGGAATCCGGCCGCGTCGCAATAGGTACGCGGTAATGCGAGGAGAGGGAGCCAGGAGGGATAGCGAGGGTGAGAAGAATAGCAGTATAGAAAGCGAAAGTACTACGCTGAAAGGACAGGGGACAAGACAAGGGGATCCGTTCCTGAGTTGGTTCCGTGGCGGCGAAAGAAAAGAAAATTTTGGCGATGCGGGGAAATTCCCCGTCTACTAGAGTACTACTACTTACTATATATATAGTAGATCCCGCAATTGTTCAATAAGCAAGCCAACTACTCTCGACTCAACCATATACTTCAGTTGTTTTCAGTACCACCAGGAAATAAATGTATGTATATTCTGAGGCTTTTTTTACAGGGTTTGTTTACTACTAGTAGTACTTAGATACTCTCCGCTAGGGTCTATTCAACCGCCACTTAGCTCAGTGACGGGTCGTCGCTCATGTCAAGCATCTCTGCACCAACACGGCGCCCATTCCTGTTGGTCCACGGATATTGGGCACGACTCGAACATGGGCTGTAGGTGCTAAGTACCTGGTACCTGGTTTTGTTTTGACCTTCGGCGCTTGATCGGAAATAAACCGGTCGCCATTCAAAGATTAGTTGCTGATGTTAGTAGCAATCCCCCTCCCGAATGGCTTACTGGTAGTAAGTAGTAAATCAATCAATCAACTCTCTTCTTCCGGCAAAGCTGCACAGCAGAATAGGGGGAAGAAGTCTATTCTGAGCCTTCAGAATGCAGTAGAAGACTTTAAACGGAAGGAGGAGCAAAATGGTGAGAGAAGTAAGCGTGCAGGTCAAGGGCAGTGAGCGAGGATGATCAGGTTTCGTACGCTCTAGTCATGAGAGCTTCCGGATTCAAATGCTTCACGCAAAGAGATATCATATTGCTCTTTGTCCTTCACCTTTTGTTCAATAAACTTAAAGGCATTGAATGTCCAGTAGGGCATAGTGATTTGCCAGAAAGCTGGATCGTCGTGAGATTTAGAAAACCTCGGTTGAATGAAGTCATAAAAGATCTTGAATAAAGCCGTAGGGCTACTGAGCGCAAGAGAACACCAAAATGTCCCTCTCTCCCATCCATGCTGCAAGATAGGATAGAGACGGACTGGTAGCTCGAGTTTCTTCTCTTCGTCTGCGAAGGCTTCCATGAACTCCCTGTGAGAAACTTCGTAGTCCTCCATGCTGATCAAGTCAATAGCCTGATTTGTCAACCAGTACGGGGGTTTTATCATTTCCACTGGTTGAGAGCATGCCCACTCGAGATCTATTAGACATTTGATGTTCCAATCGTCGTCGACAAAGATATTACTCTGGTTAAGATCGGTGAGGTTAAGAAAGAACGGACCTCGAAGGAGATCACGGCGGAAAAAACAGGTCCAGACACTTCTCATAACCATCAATGCGGATGTTTGATAGAAGCCATCTTCAATATTGTTGACTGCATTAGGCTGGTGGCGAAGCCGGCTTTCATGAAATGCAAGAATGTCATTGACATAGGCGTCAACAGTGGAGTAAGTGATATTTTGCAGCATGTCGACTGGAATGTGTTCATTTTCCAGTTGATGGGTTTCAAGGGTAAGAGGTCGGTTAGTTAAAGTTAAGTATCCTTTCTCATCCAAAAGGACCCGATTCTTGGTAGCGGGATACGTGCCAAACCCAACATAATACGGGAGAGCCCATGGAAAAGGTTTGTGCGTAGTTTGAGATTGTGGCGCCCTTCCTCCCACGTTTCAGAAAGCATTTTACCTCTCGACGGATCGATGTACTCAATCAGAAGATAAGGGGTGCCCAACATAGTTTGACCATTGGCTCGATGTTGAACATAGAGGGATGGGGTCGGATAATTTAGCCAAGCTAATAGTCGACGGCGCAGACGCTCAATAATGCGGGTTACGAATGGCAGATTATCGAGGACTGTGAACTGGGATTGTAAGCAATAATTCTTAGAAGACAGGCAAAGCGCGGACATACAGCTTGGCCAGTAGACAGTCCAAACCCATACAGCTGTGGTATAGGGATAGTTGGACAGTTCTCTTGAAGCCATGAGTAGGTCCCAGCTTCGCAACGAACCTTCTCATCCGCATTACCTGGGCAAGAGTTCTCCCCTATTCGGTACGGCAATGGAAATCTGATCATCAGTTGTTTCCTAGGATCCCGCCCTTGACTATCAACCTCAACTCGTATGCAAACATTGAAGCTGCCATGTATCCATTCCTCAACATCGACTGCATGACACGTGTCTGCAGAAGGGAGGTTGAGATGGTGGGCCACGATTGATTCGATTAGCTTGCGATTTCGATACAAATGAGTAAAATATCGAATCTTCTGATCCCTGTATCCCAATTCGTGGAGGATATTAGAGTCTTGCTCCTTTGCGGCGGCGTATGTGATCTCCCCGCGAAGTAGACGACGTTTCAGCACATTATGTGAGTCATGGTCCTGAGCCATTCTTCGAAATAAGCACCTTTGTTGGAGGGTTAAGAGATGGAGACGGGATGAACTCAGCCAACAAAGAGCGGATCTAGACCGATCTTGGGTCATGTAGATGTAGCGATCAGGGGCGAGATGTCCGCTCGGGTAAACAATTTTCCTATCTGAGGCGCTCTCGAGTTTAGCAAGGATTGGACAGAGAATATAGGATTGATTCGGTTAGTAGTGCAAGCTTCCACTCATTCATAAAGGTTTCACCATCAATGACCGAGTTAATTGTCCGAGTGAAGCTTGTAAGCATTACGCGTTCCGAAGCTGTTGGCTCAGATTTCTAGCCTTTAACCAGGTAGCCGAGTAGTCACGCATCTAAAGCGTACTACTACTAGTAGGAGTGGGTTCTTCTGACAGTGCCAGATCGTACGTATTTTCAGGAATTACTGGTGAAGGACCTCGTAAGCAGTTTAAACAGGAAATGGGAAATTCATTTTAAAATAAAATACAGTGGTTCATGTTTCCAATGTCACGTGCAACATAGTACAAGAAGGATGTTCAAAACCCAACCTAAAGACATGTAATAATTACACAGTCTACATAGGTAATGACGATATGGAATCTCTAGGAAGTCTCCGTGTCTTTCCCCAATCCCGGTGCATTAGTGCTTGATGTTGTTGCAGGCAAATCTTGCTCTGAGATATATGAGAAAAATTGTGTCTTGCTCGTGAACATGTCAACTTTGTTCATAATTGTTCGGATGGCAACGTATGAGGTAAAACAAAACAAAAGAGGTCTTCATAACAAAAGAAGGCAGACGGTACATCTGCCCCTCTATAAGAACAGGTCCTCGTGTATATAGACGCGGCTATCCACCAATCAAGAAACGTGATAGGCTTTCTATGACAATGAAATGTAGCCATTTAGCTTGGACTAAAACCTTGCAGACTCCTAGCACACAGACCTTCCTTCACAACCATCAAGTCAACCGGAGAGTTTGAAACGCACATAATCGTCGATGCGGCTCGTCCCATCTGACATCACTTGCCCGCCTTCCATCTCCTCCATGTCCCTAAGAAATTTGTCAATGAAATCACCCGTAGCACTTAGATGAAGAATTTTCGCTATGGCACGATGGATATTCAGAAGATCAACAGATGACGGGTCTATATTTCGGTTTGGAGTGATATACAGCGTTCGGGTGACAGGGAGCTTCACAATTCGAAGTAAGCGATCTCGTTCGACGTAGTCGATCTTGTATGTTTGAGGCCCAATATGCTCAAACGAGATCTCAAATCTACCAAACAAGGTGTGAAGATTCTGGGTCAAAGTGAGCGCATTCATGGGTCGATCAATATCAGTCCCACTAATGTGAGGAATAGCAGTGGTATTGAACATATTCAAGATCCTATGGGCCATTTGTTTGTGCTCGGGCTAGATAGATTGTAAGTGATGGATTAAATGCGGGATTCTGGATTACACACAAGTTTTGGCTCCCCGTCAATACTGGTGAGTGACATGAGGGAATGAGGGATAATATGTGCTACCTCCAGAAAGGCCATCGCATCGCTCTCCGGCAACAACGACCCTCCGTCGTCGTCTCTGAAATCGGTTCCGTCTTTTGCTAATCAATCCTCAGCTTCCTGGATATCGAATTTTCGAGTTACGACGCATCTATGACGATCACGCAAAAGACAGTCCCGTCGTAAAGTGGAGATACGTTGAGGCGTACCAACTCCTGCTTCGGAGATCTGAGCACGGGAAAGAGATGCTGGCGTAGGTTGAGGAGTTTTTGCAGCCAAAGCTTTCACTTAACAAATGTTAGTTCCACTAATTTTTCAAGCATGTGTATAGCAACATATAGGGCAAGAAGAAATTATCGATCAAAAAGTTCGCGAATATGACCAGGCTTTCGCCAAGGGCACTTCTGCCCGAGGTGGTCCATGTACTGAAACTGTCCAAACGAGCTAAAATATGAGCAATGGAGGGCTCTGTATCGTTCGAGACACCATCTAGATGTCGTTCAATGAATGGGAAAAAGAGTTTGAAAAAGCTATCTTTATCGGATATTTTCTCTTTCATCAGGCGAATAAGAGAAACTGGTTTCAAGCCTTTTTCGGTTGCCTGTGAAGGTTCGTATTGCTCGATGATACTATCAAAAAGCCTCAGCGCTGCGTCACGGTCTTCTGGCTTCAAGGGCTGGGGTGCCGGAACGATGACCCCGGGACCATTTGAAAGTGAGGACATTTTTGCAATGGAGCGGTGATTACCCAACTCATTTCCATAGACAGTGCGATGTGTAGAATGCAACCCATGTATGTGACCTCAGCAAACTTAAGAATATCAGACAATCTCAAGGAAAAGAACCACCTTCATCGATATTGAGTAGGGAAAGCATGACACTAGCCCAAAAATAGATTAGTCACAAAAGGCTTGACACCGAATCCACAAGGTGTCGATGACTTACTATGCAGATTACTACCGAAGGAGGCAATATAATGCAAGCAACAGAACCTCGGCGGCCCCCTTTCGAGTAAAGTTTTGGGAATAATAACAATAGGTTAGGTTGTAGGATTATTGTGCTATTATGGCATCCTCATGACCAATAGCTTTTAACATACAATTTTACCTTTCTGCGATGAAGATCCTTCTTCGGATCAGTCGATTCTCTCGACTGCCAGTTCTCCCAAGAAGGGCCATGTCCTCTAGCTGTCCCATTCTGGACTCAACAAAGAAAATAGAGGAAGAGCAAATGCCTGCTTATGAACGTGGTCTTTACTATCCAGTGAAGCTTGGTGATGTATTTCATTCTAGGTACCAAGTTATCAGCAAACTGGGCTTTGGGGCAAACTCAACGGTGTGGTTCTGTCGTGACTTGCAGTAAGTATCAGTCTACTCTTCTCGGGTCTCGTATATGTAGCTAACTTCTTAGGTAGACACCACCGGTATATAGCGCTAAGAATCTACATCAGCAGCTTGAGGGACAATCAAGAGGTGCGCGTATTGAGGCACCTTTCGCGAGTGAAGTCACAGCATCCCGGCAGCAGTCTCGTCCGCCAAATGATAGAGAAGTTCGTGCTTACGAGTCCCAAAGGCATACATCAGTGCATTGTTTACGAACCTCTGTTAACAAGCCTCCTGCATTTCCAGGCAACATTGGACCCAATGAGCCTTCCCGAGGACCTACTAAAAGGGGCACTGCAGCAGCTATCACTGGCCCTTGATTATCTACACTCAGAGGCGCATGTAATACATACTGGTCTGTAAACCGTCGCGGGCTATCATCTATAAATGGCTAATGACCTCTTTAGATATCCAAGCGAAGAATATCATCATTGCTGCAAAAGACGAATCAGTCTTCCGGGAATGGGATGATGGCGAGACTAATGAACCGAGTCCTCGCAAGGTTGATAATGAGTACACTGTCTATCAGTCACGCCCTTTCCGTCGCAAGAAGGGCTGGAGTGGCTTCGGGATGCCGCTACTCACGGATTTCGGAGAAGCTCGTCTTGGGGAAGTGCACGAAGGATTGATCCAGCCGGATCTTTATCGCGCGCCTGAAGTCATTCTTGGGATGAGTTGGACAGCGAAGGTTGACATATGGAATGTCGGGGTGTTGGTGAGCATGAATCTGGCCCTCTAGTATATTTTTTATTATGGCATTGGCTAATATGGGACTCAAGATCTGGGATCTCTTCGAAGATCATCACTTATTTGATGGCAGAGGACCAGACGGTTGCCATTCAGATGCGCAACTTCTGGCCGAAATGGTAGCGATGCTGGGGCCACCACCATTGGAATGGCTTCGTAAATCACCTCGCAGCCTGGAGTACTGGGACTCGTCAGGTATAGCTTCATCCTTAGAACATTTACTCATCCACCAGCTAATAAATAGTAGGCCAATGGAAGGCTTCTGGCAAAATTTCATCCATTTCATTGGATGACTCAGAAGAGTATTTAGAAGGCGAGAACAAGCAGGAAGATGCTTCTATGGGATCCAGAAGAGAGACAGAGCGCCCGCGAACTATTGACAGATCCGTGGTCGACAAGTCCTTAGTAAACTGTATTGATACCAGGGAAAACAATATACAATAGCTTAATATACAATATAGTAAACAATGTAGAAAGTCTACGTAAAGAAACAAACAATGTTTGAAAATCCCTGAAGTCAAAATTGTTTCACCAAACACTGCTTGAACGTAAGCAGAATCCCGCCAGGGGCGACCGCCCAACAAACGGCCGTCGGATGACCCTCCCACCCCGTGGGAACACTCACCCCAGTTACTCAGGGCGGCGGCGTTATGCCTCGGCTCAACTCGGTAGCTCCAACCTTCCATCAATCCAATCCATCCCCTCATCTACCATATAGACACCTCCAAACCTAACCCTCATTCCACCTACACACTCACACCAATACACACACAAACCCACCGCAAAATGTCCACCTCAATAGCACTCAAAAAGCGCCGTCTCCGAAGCGACTACATCTACCACCAAACCCACCGAACAAGATGGTGAGCCACCACCACCACCCTCCCCCTCCCCACCCAATCCATCACCTCTAACAGATAAAAACACAGGTTCGACAACGACATGTACGCCCACCTCAACAACACAGTCTACGCCATGCTCTTCGACAGCATAATAAACACGTATTTAATCACGCACTGCGGGATGGATCCCTTCACGCACAACAACCCCACACTTACTACACCTGACCCCTCCTCTTCCTCCTCCTCCACCTCATCTACACCATCCAAATTCAAAAGCAGCCAAGTAGGCATAATGGTCTCCTCCTACTGCGACTACTTCTCCTCGGTCTCATTCCCGGATATACTAGACCTGGGGCTGCGGGTCACGAAGCTGGGGAATAGCAGCGTGACGTATGAAGTCGGGGTGTTTAAGGAAGGGGAGGAAGAGGTCAAGGTTGTTGGGGGATATACGCATGTGTTTGTGGCGAGGGAGACGATGAGGCCGACGAGGGAGGGGATGGAGATCGGTGTTAGGAGGGGGTTGGAGAGGTTGGTTGTGAGTGATGATACTGCTGTTGGTGGTGGAAAGGGGGCGAAGTTGTGAGTAGGGTTTGGGGGAATGGTGGTGAGGCCTGTTCTGTTCCTGGTGAATGGGATGGATATTCGGTCTGGGGGTTTGTATATAGTTGATAGAAGGGGACGCGCTTATACTGAGTGTTATGTTAAGTGTCCTGGTGGCATTTATTGGCTATTTGATGTTGTGTCTTATGTATCAAATGGCCGGTGTAGAGGTAGATCAAAAATACTGGAAGAGCAGGGAAAGAATTCCGGTTTACTCCGTCATCCATAAGACCACGGCAATCCCGATTTATATTCCGACTCACATGTGAAAAGTGCAGTAGAGTACTTACAGTAAGTAAAGGAAGAAGAATCCTGCGACGATACATCTCATGCAGCTGTCATGTCGATCCCATCCATACCCGGACTTGCATGCGCTAAACTTTCCCACAATGTCTACCCGAGTACATCTCTCAATTTTGAGCTTCAAGTGACCCATGACAAATACGTTCATACTAAGATATTATGTAGTGTGTAAAAATAGACTGTCCTTTGCTCCATTGTGCGGTTCGCTGAATGATCAGTCACCCGAAATATAACAAATACAGAGGATGTGAAATGAACAAGAAGACGACAAGCCAAACCCACATGCGCTCTATCGCAATGTCTATCCGATTTTCTATGACCTTGACCCGAACGCCATTGTCGCTTTGTAAACAAGGTCACTGCAGAAAAGCAGATTCATCCCAGCATTACAGGCTCATGTGTGAATATCATCATAAAAAAGTAGAAAAGGCAAACAAGAAAAAAAAGGGAAGCAAATAAGAAAGACACCTCGCTTAAACGCTATCCCATATAGCAATCAATCAGTCGTGTGCACGCGCATTCGACCACCGCATGTTCTGTAGAATCCAGCTGCAGATAGCATCACGATGGTCAAGCAAATGTGTTGACAGCAAAAGAAGTTTTCGGTCTGTTCCCACTCGAGAAGGGTCAAGTCATCTTGTTCGGCAAAATGCTAGCCCGGGACACATTCGAGCTTTCGGGGAACAGCACCCGGCGCAGGGTCCTCGACTCTGCATCGTAGTGCCATTTCTGGTAAGGACCGGGAATGAATTTGCCCTTGGCATCCCATCCGGCCACCCAGGTGTATCCATCATCAAGGAGGAAGAACATGAATTTTTCTGGCTTGGCGCCTTCGTGGATTTCCACGGTGTGCCAGCGGCAGCGCTCCTCCATTTCGTGTTCAAAGATGTATCGGTGAAGGATCCGGCAATAGACAAGCGGAACAGGCACTTTCTCGTCGCTGTCATTGCCGTCTTTGTAGACAAGATGCCATCCTCGACCCGGGATGTACTTGTAGATGCCAGGAACGGGACTGTCCCAATGTTCCTCTTTGTGGATAGAACCTTGGATGCGTTCTCCACGCTGGAACCAGTAGGTCGGGCAGAACACGTTCCGCAAACAGAGAAAGAGGTTGGGAGCCATGGTAATGAGAATCGAGTAGGCTTTTTTCAGGATGACACGATGTCGAGAGAGATTTTGAAAACTTCAGATGTGTAGAAAGAAGATCGAGAAACGCTCGCTTGCTGATGAACAGAATATCAAAGAAACAACGGGTTGCGAGTTGCAACGACGGGTTATAAGTCGACGTACATCTTAAACAAACAAGTAGTATAACCTGAAAGTAGAAGATGAAGGAGGAAAAGAGGATGTTAGGCAACAATCAATAAAGGCTGATTGTGCCCCCAAGTGCTTTGGGAAAGGAGTAGGATTCGTCGAGACTGCCTCCGATAAGATGGCTCAAGTCTAGGGGAAGGCAAGAGCAAGATGCACGACACGCTGTAACGATGCGGTGTGTGCGATTGTATGTATATGTAGACGTGCCTGGCGACAGTCTAGGCCCGGCCCAAAGTTGGATGAAGGGTCAGATTTCTTTTTCTTCGCGAAGCCTGAAGGAAGAAAAATCTGGATTGAGACGGGCTTTATTTATTGGAATTGGGACTGATCGACAGGACCAGGAGACCAGGGAAGCTGGGAAGAGGGGCCGCGAGACAGCTAAAGCAACAGGCGCAGCAGTAGAAGCAGCGGGACGGTGTGGACAGCTCTTTCTTTAAGATTGCTTCTTAGAACCGCATGGTGGCAAGCTCGCATCTGACTGGACAGAAGGGAACAACGAGCATGGATGTCTGTCAAAGGAGACGTATGCAGGAATTGGAAGGAGGGAGAGAGCGAGAGAGCAATAGGACAAATGACGAGCACCGGATTGGTTTAAAAAGAGGCAGGAAATTCGGGATGGTGCGCGCCTCTGGGGCGGTCTGAGGTCAGAGTAAGTCAGTCAGACGGACCTAAGAATTGTGGGTGTGGAAACTGGAAAAGTGTGGAAAAATTTTCTTGATGTCACGGGCTAGACCACACTGAGAAGGCGCCCGTCATCCCAAACGGTAGCGTGGGCAACTGAACTTGCAACTGGATCCGTTCCGTGGCTTTAATCACCCTAATCACCCTAATCCCGCCCTAAATCAATGGAATCTTTGCCCTGCAACAGGAAACTTTGACGCGGGAAACCCGAGCCCCACGGGATCCACCCTCGGGCGATATTTTAACTTTTCCCTTCTGTGTCTTTTTCCGCCATCCAGGCCCGTATTTTGATATCCCGATCCTGGATGTGTTGCTTCCGAGCTGCGAGGCGTGTTGCTTTGATGCATAGACTGTATCATTCCAATCAGCTGTCGAAAAATTGAGAGAGAGCAAAAAGAGAATCCGAGTACGAACGTGAGCATCACGGATCACATCATCCACTAGATTCAGTTGCCTAAAATTACTTCACCTCCGGGCTGCGGTGGCTGTGCCTATGGCGCACACTACTCCATGGTGACTCAAGTCCTTGCTTGGTGGCCTCCATCACGACCACCACCCCCTATCATGTCACCCGGGGCATCGCGTAGTGAACACTTCACCTTGGGGGTTCGAGACCTCTATCACGAAATCACCCGATCTTGGCTCTCATTTTCGGGCTGGTCTCGATCCTTCCTCGGCTGAGCTTTGACTTTCTATCCCTTTCTTCGGCTGCAGTTCTGAGGGTAGTAGCATAGTTGTTATTGTTGGTGTCGCACACCATGTGGCTAATATGCCTTAGCGAGCTAGTCTAGCTGCGATCGCCAGAACATGATATCACTAGCGCCGTTCTCCTATCAAAACTTTTAGCAGATGAGCAACACTGAAGTTCAAAAAAGAAATAATCACCGCATTAGCTAGCTTGGCTCGGCCAAGCTACATTCTTGGGATCAAATCACAGAAGCCAGGATTATCACGGCCTTGCCGTGTTGTTCATGCAGGCGTGCAGTCATTCCAAGGTTCCTTGTTCTGCAATTCACCACTGGGCCACAACAAGTGTTTCTGATGGTTGCTCAGGCCCCTGTGCTATCAAGCACATTATGGCGGTGTCAAGACCGGCACTGTTTAGGGGGGTGAGAGGTAGACGGGAGTGAGTCAACAGAGGCTCACGGACGGATGTCGCACAGATCGCACGTCTTCCGCTCTTTCCCAGGCACGAAAAGAAGACGGAACAGTTCAAAGGAGGGGCTGGGAATCCCGTGATTGAGCAGTGGCCAGATGGCCTGGAGCTTAGCTTCACATTCCTTCAAAGCTTCCTCCATACTCTGTGCTCCATGTACCATCCCACGCGTCAGAATTTCACCTAATACCCTTGCGGAGATGCTATCTCGCATATACTCTCTTCCCAAAATTAGCTTTCTCTAGCTCATTAGTTTTTAAGCTCATACAGCTCTATTGGCCCGGTGGTGTATCCTCCGGACTGAGGTCTGATCAGGTACTGAATGCCTACTAATAGCGTTTCCTATAATGGGTATTGAGCTGTTTACACAACATGATATCATCAAGCAACAAGCCTGCGTGATGAACTGTGTTGTGTTGCGCGCACGCGCCACCCCATGAAGCGGCTGGTGGGTCAAAGAAGTGATGGTTTCTCATTATTCAGATTAATCCATAACAAATTAGTCATTATTCAGTGATTGTGCCTGGGCTCCGGGTATCGCTGCGCCAGCCGTTGGTATTTGACTGCCTCTCGGAGAACCATTCCTTCGTTCAGCTGGGACGTTTCCTTGCGGAATAACTCTTGCCATGGGGTCTGGCTTTCCGGCATATTGTAACCCCCACTTGCTTCGAGCTCCTGCTTGCGCTTCCTTAATTCGTCCGCAGAGACAAGGATGTCTACCCGCCGCTGGTTAAGGTCCACTCGGAGCCGGTCTCCATCCCGAAGGACTGCAAGGTTACCGCCCGCTGCTGCCTCAGGACTAGCGTTCAAGATAGATGGAGATCCTGAAGTTCCCGACTGCCGTCCATCACCAATGCATGGAAGTGACTTGACCCCCTCTCGCAGCAGCCTTCCCGGAGGGTGCATGTTGACCACCTCGGCTGCACCGGGATAGCCCAGTGGACCAGCCCCGCGCATCACCAGGATGCTTGTGTCAGTGATGGGGGTGGAGGGGTCCTCTAACCGACGATGGTAATCCTCCGGTCCATCAAAAACTACCACAGACCCCTCGAATGCATTTGGATCTGCGGGATTCTCTAAGAATTTTTGCCTAAACGGCTCAGAGATGACGCATGTTTTCATAATGGCCGAGTCAAACAGGGTGCCGGTCAAGTGAAGGAAGCCAGCATCCTTGAGAAGGGGATCGTCATAAGCTCTGATCATCCGCCGATTCCAGGTATGTTTCCCACGGACGTTTTGTGCTACAGTGTGGCCATTGCACGTCACAGCATCTGCATTCAACTTGCCCGCATCCAGCAGCTCCGCCATAATAGCTGGCAACCCTCCTGCTCGGTAATACTCCTCCCCTAGCAGCTCCCCCGCCGGCTGCATATTTAGCAAGAGCGGGATGTGGAACCCGATGCGGTCCCAGTCATCTAGCGAAAGATCCACCCCAATATGCTTCGCAATGGCGTTGATATGAATGGGGGCATTAGTACTACCACCAATCGCGGTGTTGGCAGCAATGACATTCTCGAAAGCCTCTCTGGTCATGATGTCACTTGGCTTGCGATCAGAGTGCACCATCTCTACGATCTGTAATCCGGTCTCATAGGCACATTGAGCTCGTTCACGGTAGGGAGCTGGAATGGCAGCTGACCCAGGCAGGGCCATGCCAAGGGCTTCTGCAAGCGCGTTCATAGTAGATGCCGTACCCATCGTGTTGCAATGTCCTGCTGACGGTGCACTAATGCCAAGCGTTAGTCCAAGCCAGGAAAGCGTGTCTAAAATCTCGTGACGTACCCGCGGGAGATGTAATCTACAAATTCCTCCGTGGTGATTTGTCCTGCAGCATGCATCTCTCTGCCTTTCCAGACCACCATTCCCGAACCAGCCAGTTCATCCTTCACATAGCCATTGAGCATGGGACCGACGTTGAGACATATAGCAGGGATGTTCTGAGAATCCGAGTCAGTTGGGCAGCTGTGAAAGAATAAGATGCAAGCCTTGCAGAGCAACGTACGACTGTGGCAGCAGCCATCAGGCATGCCGGAGTGGTCTTGTCGCACCCGGTGAGGAGGACCACCCCATCCAGAAAATAGCCATGAAGGATCTCAACAAGGCCAAGATAAGAAAGGTTCCGATCGATACAAGCGGTGGGCCGTCGGCTAGTCTCTTGAATGGGGTGAGTGGGGAACTCGAAGGCGATTCCGCCAGCAGTTCTGATACCCTCTCGGACCCTTTTGGCAAGCTCCAGGTGATGACGGTTGCACGGTGCCAAATCGGATCCGGTCTGAGCTATTCCGATAATAGGCTTGCCAGACATCAGTTCCTCCCGAGTCACACCATAGTTGAGGTATCTTTCAATGTACAAGGCCATCATTCCTGGGTCGCCTTCGCACTGAAACCACTTGGTGGACCGCAGCTTGCGTCCGGCTTTCGGTGTGCTGCTTGACGAACTCTTCATGGATGCAAGAGTCTTTTCAAGTTCTATGGTTTTCTTCCGGAGGGCGAGCAGCTCGGTTTCACAATCTTCAATATTAACCACTCCTTTGCTGCCACTGCCGCTGCAAGAGCAGCCCTCGCATGAAGCCTGTGACTGGCACGACATGTTGGATGGTCCGTTGTCTGTCGACAAACACTTCACTAGCTATACGGCTATTCAAGGTTACTATGATGGAGGAAGCAGGGTCGCAAAATAAAGACCGTTGCTTTGACGCTTTGACACCGAGAAGGTTACCCCGGGATTAGGATTGCGGTGCGCCGGTGCCGAGTTAATCGGCGGAGAATGTCCGAGTCAGATTAGCCGCGTACCGAAAGGGGCATCAAAAGAGAGCGGAAGAAAAAGCGAAAAATTGTTAGGATACCACTCGGAAACTATCTGGGAATGGAAACTTGGGCACAGTGGGAAAGCTGACAATTAAATAGCAGCAAACAGGCTGGAGTTGTGATGGGGACCCCGTACCAATGTTTCGGAAATCAGCCTTGGATCGCGTGGCTCTCGGCTCGGGTTGGTTTAGTTGGTTGGTTGAGGTGATGGAGATGGAGCCCGTGGGAGGTGTGTACCCCACGCTATATCCATGGGGGCACGGAGGGGCCTGGAGAAAGAGCATGGGGGTTACAATTCTTCTTTCGGTATCCATGCATTACTATTTATTCCCTCATCCCGACTTGTGTTGAACCAGCCCGGGTTTGCAACCCCGTCAAAACTCCGATGCCAGCACCTGTGGCGTTGTGCAGCTGCAATGCACAGCATCATAGGTAGTGTTAGATCGGGTCGGGAAACTCAGTTTCCCACATTCATGAGTCGGATATATCGTAAACTAATTTGATGCAATCCATATAAAGATGGATTTATAAGCTGTGAAAAAACCATTGACATGAGACTTGCCAATTGTATAGCTGTCTAATACTTTGACACTGCGAAAAGATCGCTAGTGGCATCTGTTAAAGATACAGGCACTACTACTGTATCTACCGCTTCCTTGCAGATTAATGACATGAAGTATTCAAACAACCAGAAACAAATAGATATAACACGCAATATTATTGGACTGGCAGACTCAGTGATCCAATGATTTCCCACGTAATTTTAACATGCTCTGCATACACAAGGCCTTGAGCGGGTGACACTTGGAAATTCAGGGATTTACTGATTTGCCAGTTGGCGGAATCACTTGGACCGGCCGCAGACGTAGGTTTGATGGGGTGCGCAAATGGTCAGTATGAGTAACCGCAAAAATCAACCAACCAATGGAAGAGCCGAATTTCTGCAGAAATTGGGCAATAGCCAATCAGAGGGGGCTTCGGGAACAATGCCGCAGTCATGCTATACTACTGTAATTTGGAGTAAAGGATTTCATACTTGTTAACTCATTATGATCTGTGATTTATTCTATACATACATTCACAGACTACTCAGAATACAGAAAATGTTATATCTGAGAACTAAGGATGGCAACAGCCGGAGGAGAGATATTCAAAAAGCGGAAGCCACCGACAAGGTCAGCAGGGAGAAGCCGAAGGGCATACAGTGAAGTACCGAATTTAGTAGAGGTGAAGTTAGAACTAATCAAAAGAAAAAGGTGAATGGGAGGGACTTGCTGGGTAGGTACTGTCATTAGCTACTGAAATATGATATAAAGTAACCTGGTTCCCTTGTCACCATAGTTTCTCCAAGTTCTCACACCTAGGCGAGCTTGGGACTACTAATTCATGAGATGAGATGGATACTCCCGACAACAATTGACAGTCCCTTGATGAATGAAGGGGGTGGGGGGGCTGGATATTGAATTGGATCCATCGTTGAAGAAGCCAGTGGATACTTATCGTCCAAACGCTTCAGATTTCCGAAGTTGTGAAAGCGCTCTGCAACAACTAAATTTCACAAGCTCGATATATTACCTGGATAATGAACAGGAACAACATATTCACCCATCGACAAACGTGCAATGAGACTATTTAAGTCAGCACCCTGTTCAGTTAATATCGAGGGTATATACTTAACGATAAGTCACTGATAGCCCTGGACATTTTCTACTACTCGCACACATATTCAAGGAAACCCAGTCTACCTATCTAACGACTCTGCACATCGACTTACTTTTGAATTACATCCATCCATCGAGGGCTTCTACTTGCGCATATCCAATACGCGAAATCGCTTTTCTTATAGATCTTTGATTATTTTCCCATCTACCACCCACACACCACGAAACATGCCTCCTCAACGGGACGTTTACACACAATACCAAATTCGCTACTCTTGCGGCCACAGTCTGAATAGCGAATTTGTGAAGTGCCCTGAACGCGCAAGAAAAGAGGACCTCAGGTGTCCTTCCGGACGATGGGAGTACCGGGAAGCCAAGAAAGTCGCTCATAAGTACCGACTTTGTCTGTTCAGTGGCCGAATCAGAACAAGTACAATAACCAACAGTCGGGAACAACGGCGCACCTCGACCCTTCTGGAATGAAAGCCAGAAGTGCCAGCTGTGCCAGGCAAAGGGACATAAATCCACTCGGCGCATTAAGTAGCACCTCTGCCAACTACTACACCCTGTCTGACATACTGGTCGTCCAAAGGGCAAAAGCGGCCTAGGATAAGAAAACGAAGTAAGCTTATCTAGGAATGTTAAGAGTCATAACATATTAACTTATTCAAGGGACTGCGCGGATTCCAATGAGCACGTGCTAGACGCCTGGTTTTCTCTTCTGCACCTGTTGACTCCTTCGTGTAGAGAACGAGAGGGAGTCGGTTGTTCTCTGTTTCCAGTGCGAGACCCATATCTCTGCACACTTGATGATACTCAGCATCTTCCCGACAATTGAGCTTCTGGAGCAACCATTGACTGGCTGGGTTGAGAGCCCTTCGATTGGACTTTCCCATTCTCTGTCAAGATATCGATATGTTAGATAGTATATTACATGATCTAGGTCAGACGTTATACTCATTCTACAGCTAGTAATCAATCTTCCTTCTTCGTCTTATGTGACCCAAAAGTAAAGGCGTTCTGCAAACGCTCGTTTGTCTACGTAAAGGAAAACAGATCTCTACACACTCAATAATCATCATTCCCATCATAAAACTATATTTATCTCATCGATCAATCCATAAAAGTTGACCCGAAACGCCCACGATGCGAGAGGGGAGCTGATCCAGAAGCAGCCAACGAGTCTATCATCATGAGGTGAACTAGCAGAGAGGTATAATGTCCTTGAAAAGGACAAAAACAGAAAAAGGAGCAGAGGCAAAACAGATACAGAGAAAGCATAAGCATGCCAAGAGTCTACTGCGTCGCACACTGAGCAGTTGTCTCACCCTCATCGTCATCCTCCCAGGCAGAACCCCCTTCGGGGTCATGCGCCCCAAAGTCATCCAGGTTGCCCTTGGGGTCGAATTCGACCTCGTCCACGGTGTCAGCCTGAATGGGGGGTTCCGGCTTGGGCAACAGTTCCTTGAGCTGCTCTAGAACAGCAGGGCTGGGCTTCCATTGCCCGTCGGGGAACTTGATGTTGACGACCAGGTACAGGTCGCCGCGAGCATCGCTGCGCTTGATGGGCATACCCTCACCAGGAACCTTCAGGACCTGGCCCGGGTAGAGAACCTCACCGGGGGTCTTGGGGTGCTGGATTTCGATTCCGCGACCGTCAAGGTGCTTGACCACCACCCGGGAGAAGCCCGTCAGGGCCTCGGCCAGCGTAACATCAATTGTTGCTGTCAGGTCAGCAGCAGCCCTCCGGAAAGTCTCATGCTCCTCTTCCACGATGTGGAAAACGATATCTCCAGGTTCCTGACCCGGCACCTGGTCGGCCTCGCCCTCGAGGATGATCTTGTCTCCTTCCCTAACACAGAGTCAGTTATCACACTTCAGACAGTGCCGCATATAGCAGACTCACCTCGCCCCGCGAGGGATGTAGATCTCCAGCATCTTCTTGGCCTCGGTGGTCTTCTTGCCCTTGCACTTCTTGCACTTATCCTTGTCGACAAAGTAGTCACCCGCTCCGTTACAGGTAGGGCAGGGCACCATAGCCGGAGACAGGAACTGACCCATCGGGCGCAAAATTTGCTTGTAACCTGAGCAATACATTAGCCTGAAATCCTGCACAGCAAGTTCCGAAGTATAGAAACCTACCTTCACCATCGCAAGTGGAGCACTTCCTGGCCGTCGCCCTCTCCTTACCACCCTTGCCCTGACAATGAGAGCAAATCACGTTCTTCGTACTAGCAAACTTGACTGTCTTGCCCTTGTACAGATCCTCCAGGCGAACCTCATACTTCTGCTCCTCATCCGGGCTCTTGCGCGGCTTACGCGCATGCGGTCCACCGGGCATGCCGCCCATGCCGCCCATACCTCCCATACCACCGAACATCTGCGCAAGAATATCATCCAGATCAGGGCCCGCGCCCATACCCGGTTCACCGGAGCCGTTGAAAGCGCCCATTCCGTGGGTATCATAGATTTCACGCTTTTCTTCGTCGTAGAGGATGTCGTAGGCTTCCTGCACGGCCTTGAATCGAACCTCTGCTTCTTCTCTTTCGGCTTCGGGGACTTTGTCGGGGTGGTTTGCTAGGGCGGCCTATAAGATAAAAGGATATATTAGACTGTGCTTGGACACTGCGACCGATATAGAGAAGCTGCATACCTTGCGATAAGCCTTCCGGACGTCATCCTTGCTGGCACTCTTGTCAATGCCCAAGACCTCTATAATCCATCACATTATAATTAGTCGCTGGTGCTAGTGTAGGCTTTTCGCATTTTCTCCAAGCAAAGAACAAGAGTAGGCAATATATATACCGTAGAGGTCAACGTCCGCTTTCGACACTAAACCAAACCAAATCAGTCAGCACACTGGAACCTCAAGCTAGTAATGTCTGATTTTTAAGCGATAGCGGGAACACATACTGATAGTAGGAAGTAGAGGGTAAGATCCCCAACGAGCACGAGCGACGAATAAAGGGTATCAAAGATAACAGTATAAAAACAAGCAAAACTATAAACGAGCAAAGTCTAAAGCCAGCAAAACCGTGTGTTCCTGGCGACCAAGTAAATAGAGGGAGAGAGAGAAAAGAGAGAGAGCGGCTGAGGCTGTAAAAGTAAAAAGGCAAAGCAATCGCGATAAAAGCAGCGCCCGATAATTATTTATTGCCGCCCGATATCCACCAATCACATCACTTTTAAATGCGCTTTCCGCCTTTTCTGTCGGGATTTATCTTTCTTTCTCCGCCATTGATTCTCCCCAGCTTCAGCGCATACTTGTTACTTCCATAGCATTAGCATCGGCATTTTTGATATCTGTCCTGTCACTCGCGATGCTCAGGCGCCCAAGAACCCCGACCGTCTGGGCCCGTCGTCCTTGGGTCTGCACTCAATGCCGAGCTCGGTATTCCTCCGTCGCGCCGGCATCGAATCTCCGCGCTGGCAATAACAATACGATCAACAAGAAGACCAAGTTGCCTGACTCGCCGGCGAGGACTCGATTCGCACCGTCCCCGACCGGTTATCTTCACTTGGGATCTTTGCGGACGGCCCTGTTCAATTACCTTTTGGCGAAGCGCACCGGGGGACAGTTCTTGCTGCGCATTGAGGATACGGATCAGGTGCGGTAATTAGCTGGCCAAACAGCTGTGGATCGACCTTGGAAGGAGGTAGGGCTAATTGAGGGCTTGGCTACAGAAACGTACAATTCCAGATGCTGAGCAGAGGCTTTATGATGACCTTCGGTGGGCTGGATTGCACTGGGATGAAGGTGCGGAGACAATTCGCGTGGAACCGTGCGAGGCTAGTAGATGGCTAACGGATGATTGCTCTCTACAGGTCCGGTCGTCGGTGGTCCGTACGGTCCTTACAGACAGGTATGATAGAAGGAGACATGCTCATTAGGGCCAGTTACTAAGAGAGGCTCTAGTCCGAACGAACCGCCATTTACCGCTCCCACGCGCAGGAACTGATCGAGAACGGCCACGCCTACCGCTGCTTCTGCTCTGCCGATCGGTTGGACGCTTTCGCCAGACATCGCAGCCAAGCTGGACTGCCGGCCGGTTACGATAGGAAATGCGGGGATGTCTCAGCGGAGGAGTCGGAAGAGAGAGCGGCCAAGGGCGAAGCGCATGTCGTTCGACTGAAGGTGGAGGGATACCCGATGTTCAATGATCTGGTGTACGGAAAGACAGGCCAGAACCGCTCGCCGAACAAGTTGGATCTGATCGAGCGTGTCTATGATGATCCCATCTTGATCAAGTCCGACGGACACCCGACCTATCATCTGGCGAACGTCGTGGATGATCATCTCATGAAGATCACCCATGTCATTCGAGGAACGGTAAGCTGCGATGGAGGAGATACCAAAGACGATGCGCAAGCTGACACTATTGCAGGAATGGATGCCCTCGACCCCCATGCACGTCGCGCTCTACAACGCCTTCAAGTGGACGCCTCCCCAGTTCGGTCACGTACCTCTGCTCGTAGACAAGTCAGGACAGAAGCTCAGCAAGCGCAATGCGGATATCGATCTCAGCTTCTTCAAGGACACCCAGGGCATTTTTGCTGCCACTCTCGTGAACTTTGCCGCTCTTCTGGGCTGGTCTCATACCCAGAAGTCGGACATCTTCAACCTTGAAGAGCTAGAGCAACTCGTACGTCCCTCCACTTCTCCCTTCACTCACTCACTCAAACCCACTAACACAACCAATCAGTTCAACCTCAAAATCACCCGCGGCAACACCGTGGTGGCCTTCGAAAAGCTGTGGTTCCTCCAAAAAGCGCACGCCCAACGCTTCGCCGCCACCGACGGCCCCGAGTTCACCGAGATGGTGACCAAGGTCTCCGAAGAAGTCGAGAAGACCTACCCAGCGGCGCAACTGTACGTCCCCGTCCCCTACCCTATACATACATGCACATAACAAAACAACTAACCACTTACTCACCCACAGCACCCCCCTCCTCCAATCCCGCTCTCTACAAACCTACATCGCCCCTCTCCTCCGCGCCGACGCCAAATCCTACACCAACGCCACAGACTTCACAACCCGCAACTCAACCTTCTTCACCCAATCCCTCACCCGACCCCCATACACCCCCTCCTCCACGACAACCACCATCCCCTTAACCTCTCTCCACACCGCAAGCTTCGCACTCACCCTCGTGCCGCTCGCACACTGGACGCTCGAAACCCACCGCGCAAACATAACCGCCTACGACGGCACCACCCCGGACACCGAAAGCGCAGCCCTCACACCCGAGGAATCCACCAAGGCGCAAAAGGCCGCCGACAAGGCATTCAAGAAGGAACTGTATCACTATCTCCGCTGGGCACTGTCGGCTGGTGCGCCGGGTCCTGGAATCCCAGAGACGATGGCTATCTTGGGGAGAGAGGAGACGGTGAGGAGAGTACAGGAGGCGAAGGAGTTGACGAAGCATTTGGTGCCCGGGCCGACGAGACGGGTTAAGCAGGGGGTGGAGAGTTTGGGTGAGGATCGGTCTTGGATGGGGTCGTTGGCTCCTTCTTCTGGGTCTTCTTAGGGGGGATTGTAGAAGTGTGAGATGGATGGATGGATGGATGGATGGATGGTGTTATGTTTGTATGTATGAGAAATGTATAATAAGTGTAGAATAGGATTACTACTAGAACCATGTTACAGCTTTATATTTCCCCTATCATACTATCCTACAACTCGATCTTATCTTCAAGTAGGCAAAAGTAAGTAGAAAAGAGAAATAAATACTATCCATTGCTAGGACATGAAACCATAAAGTAAAACTTAGCGGCTAAAGCATAACACAAACCGCGCTGATATCACAACAGAAATAGAGGTAAAAAGCATGTCAGGGACTTATACACGCGTCCATAGAAGACAAAAAGAAGAAAAAGATTCAGAGAGCCACACCAAGAGAAGAGAAGATTCAAAGTCGGTAATCGAGTAATCGAGCGAATTATCATAAAAAAGAAATAGAGGAAGGAGTCGCAGAAGGAACACCAACCCCCGTCTATCCCAGTCCGGGTAGAGGTAAATTATTCAAACATAGAGCAAAAAAGGCATGATACAAAAAGACGCCTGGTTTTTCCGCAGTCCTTTGTTTCTTTTTGACATCAGGGAACGACATGCTGCATTCGGTCGCGGGTTGTCGGGCCCTGCCTATCACGCAGTGAGTGGCAGAGTGGTAGAAGTAAGTGGGACGCAAAAGGAATCCAAGGTTGAGCGTCCAGATAAGCCAGAACATAACGCACGTGGTATAATTCCGAATTTTAACAGAAGAAATTAAGATGGTTAGCTGAGCGCAATTGCGCAAGCCGTTGGTGACGCCGTAAAAAGCTCAACAATTATGGCGCGTGTTGGGATAGGGGATAGTGACAGAAAGAGGGCTTCAGGGTCGTTCGTGAAATCGTCAACGTCGAGTCGTCTCGTAATCACGTTCTTTCAGAGACCCCTGAAAGTCTCGAGTAGGGTCATTAGATCAACGAAAGGCTATCAGAGGCTTCAATACGGCTCCAGGTCGTCCGTCCACTCGGCGTCGCTGACTCGAACCATATTTCCCATCTGGGGACCTGGCTCATCTGGGCTTACGCTTCGGATGCCTTTGGCTTTCTTGCCTGCAAGGGAGCGGTTCTGGTTCTCCTCAGGATCGGCCAGTCGCTTCCCATGTGCAGCACGAAGCTTTGCATAGTACACGTCGCTAGCGTCTGCTTCGGATTCCGAACCGTCATCGAAAGTCTCCCAGTTCTCTGACCCGGATACTGCGGTCTGCACCGTGGAGTTCGATACTTGTCTCGGCGCTGGCGGTGGGGGCATTTGCTGCAAATATGGGTTTGGCTTGGGGTAGCCTTGCATAGAGGAGCCCAAGGACAGGGACGAAGCTGAAGAGTGGGATGATTGGGAAAATCCAGTGGAGCGTTGAGAGAACGCGGAAGAGCTGACAAAAGAGCGTTGATTACGATCATCATACACATCCTCTGGGCTGACTGGTCGCACGAATGAATTCGACAAGGCGCTGGCAGATCGGGGTGGCTCAAAGAGGTATGCCGCTCGATCTTCCCTCGACTCACCTCCGGTCAATGCCCGCATCCTCGGCGGTGGTGCACGAGGCGCCGGCATCTTACCGTTCACGGTGCTAGACGAATATGTGCCTGGACCACCCCGGCGCGGGGAGTTGTTTCCATGCGGCATATTGCCCAAGGGAACACGAGCTGGAATCTTCGAGGGTGACTTGGCTCCTGCCCTACCAGCAGCAGGTCCAATGGTGTTGTATTTTGTTGTTGGGTGGGCAGTAGGTGTTTTGGAAGCCGAGCGCGGCGGCAAAGGTCCTCGCATGGCACTGCCAGGCCGAGAACTCATGACACTAGCCGGACGAGGAGGTTGTGCTGGGGTGGGACGCTTAGCACTGGTAGGTCCAGGAGTCTTGGAGCGCGGAGGAGGCTTTGCAACAACTGGGGTGAGTTCGTCGAGGTACCGTTCTCCATGGACGAGGAATGGCCGGCCATACTCATCCTCCCACCTCTCCAGCTCTTTGCGCAAATCAGCTTCCACCTTGGGCAGCTCCTTGGCAATCCTCTTTCTCATCTTCTCTTCTCTTAGCAGCTTTCCGGGGTCACGTCTCTCGCCTTTGTTTCCGCGAGTCATAAGACGGGATGCGTCCTGACTTGAAACAGCCAGTGCCTCACGCTCTGATAGGAGGCTCTTATGCTTCTCGATTAGTTGCAGAGTCGGGGCGCGCTGCTCCTTCAAGGTCTCTAGTCGCGCGATTTCAGCTTCGTGCGCCTCTAACAGCGCATCGCTGCAAACATCAGAAAAGGCAGGCGTAAAGTCAAGCATCTCTTCTTCCGAGAAGTAAAGGCTATCCCAAAGCTCTTGAAGTCGACACCGAGCATCTTCCACGAACAAGTGCAGGTTCTGTCTCTTCAGCTCATTTAGGCGACTCAACTCGTCCTCAAACTCATTGATCGTCCTAAGTCCGCAGCCACGGTTCGCATTCATGAAAGCCTTTCTGTCGGCGTCTTCGACTCCGAAACGTTCCCACAGCGCTTCAACGGCGTTCTTGAGGTCCGTCAGTTTGCGCTCACGGCCTTTCTTCTCGCCCAGGAGCTTCTCGCGCTTGGCCATCAAGTTGGCTAGATCCGACTCATGTAGACCTAACTGTTCTGGCGATTCGCGATAATATTTGACGATGTTGGTATCTGTCTGGACCTGAGGCGTCCCGAGCTCAGCCCAGAGCTTGATAATCTCTTCCGATGTGGACTGAACAAACTCCAGACGGCGATGGTACTCTTCGTAAATGCGGGTGAATTCGCTGTCTAGCGCAGTGACGTAGGATGGCGAGAGATCGAAGCTGGGTGAGATGGTTGAACCAGGAGCTGTCGGGGGGAGCTCAATGGCGATAAAGGTGGGTTCCAGATGCGACGCATACGACTCAAGAGCCTCGACAAGTTCTATGGCCAGTCAGCAATTGCGCGCCTTCTGGCGCTCGGGATTAACTTACTTCTGACTTGCTCGAAGCGCTCCTTGTGTAGTTTGCTCAGAGCGTTGTGCTCTTCCCGGAGGAAGCTGAGGCAGCGATTCAGTGGGTACCTGATGCGCAGTTCGTTGTGGTCAAGCTGGTATTGTCCGTTTGCTTTTTCATCCACTAGGGACTTCTCCATATGCTGGATTGCCTCAATGAGGTTCTGTGCCTCTTCTTCCATATCTTTTTTCTCACTGTACAAGATCAGCCCTAGTACGTAACAGCTTTGCAATGTACGCGAGGCGCATACTTATCCACGAGTTTGAGGTGGTTGTTTAGCGTTTCAGACAACGCGCTGAAAAGCTGCTTCACAGTTAGTTGCGAGGCGTGCTGAGAATATCAGAAACAACCGACCTCTGCTTCTCTGGACTCGCGCTCATGGTTCGGAACGCCGATGTCATCAAAGATGCCATGCAATTGGGTGACGATGTTATTGACCTGAGTGGTCAAGTAGCTTGTATCGACGGCCATGGTGTTATGTTTGTTTCCCACGCCCAAGCCAGGGGGGTTGTTGTTGTATTGTGGAGCCGATTGGCCTGAATGAGATTGTTTGAGTGCGCGATCGAAGAACAAACTCGCCTTTAAAGGGCGGGGGTCAGCGTCATGTACGCTCGGGGGGCGGCGATGCGCCTGGAGAGATTAGAAGGAGGAGCTGCGAGTTATCCAAACAGGCAGGATGAACAACGCGAGACTGCGATTGACAGCGAAGCGCCTCACGGGAAGATGAGTGGCATCTGCGAGGACAAGGGACGACCCGCCAGATTTATGACCAGCTCCAGGGGATGCAGGAATATGCAAGGGTGACTGGGATGGAGGGGATGGAGACAGGCAGCGGTGGATGGAGTAAGAAAGACAATAACAATAATCTGGGCTTCTTTCTCCCTTTGGGGATTCTGCAGCCGCAATCCCGATCTGCTCGCCGCCTTTGTTGCTCTGTTTCCCGCCGCTTTCAGCTGCTACTTCGTCGGCCCGGTAACCACTGACTAAGCGCCGATCTCCGCCGCGATCTGCCGGGGAGTTCCTCACCGCCCGGAGTCACCTCATTCCATCTATCTACTATCTAACTATCTAGATCTCAGTAACTATCTACTCCACTTCACTCTTTCATCCCAAGAGATCATCTCTCTTCCTGCTTTCAACCAAATCACTCCGTGATAATACTCACACCCTCCCTCTACTACCCCAAGCTCACCTTCCCCTCTACCATCCACCATGCAGGCTGCCCAGCAGTCCTGGGGTACGTCCATCCGCATCCCCAGCCCCACTCCAACTCACCTCACTCTAACCCCAACACCACAGAATTCGAGAATGCCGTCACCCTCATAGACCCCCACCGCGACGCGCTCTACCAATACGATGAAGAAACCCACAAAGCACTCAGCGCTCAGCGCCCCTGGTCCAAAGACCCGCACTACTTTAAATCGATCCGAATCTCCGCCGTCGCACTGCTGAAGATGGTAATGCACGCGCGGTCAGGCGGCTCCCTGGAAGTAATGGGTCTCATGCAAGGCTACATCCTCCCCGAAACCTTCGTGGTAACCGATGCCTTCCGCCTGCCCGTCGAGGGAACCGAAACGCGAGTCAACGCGCAAGACGAAGCCAACGAATACATGGTCTCATACCTACAATCATGCCGGGACGCAGGACGGATGGAGAACGCAGTGGGCTGGTACCACAGTCACCCCGGGTACGGATGCTGGCTATCCGGTATCGATGTGACGACGCAGGATATGCAGCAGCTCGGAGGGCCGTTTGTGGCCGTGGTGGTTGATCCGGAGAGGACGATTTCGGCAGGGAAGGTGGACATTGGGGCGTTCAGGACGTTTCCGAAGGATTACACCCTGCCGAAGGGGGAGGGAAGTGGTGCTGGAGGCGGAGAGGATGAGTACCAGACGGTGCCGTTGAACAAGGCGGAGGATTTCGGGGCGCATGCGTCGCATTATTATTCGCTGGAGGTGTCGGTGTTTAAGAGTGCGTTGGATACGGAGATTCTGTCGTTGCTGTGGAATAAGTATTGGGTTGCGACGTTGAGTCAGAGTCCGTTGTTTACGACGAGGGACTATGGGAGTAAGCAGATGGTGGATTTGAGTCAGAAGATTAAGCGGGCGACGAGAGGCGTGGAGAGTAGTGCTTCGCGGGGAAATCTGGCGCAGGTTAAGGATCCGCAGCTGGAGAGGGTGGCCAGAGATGGGCAGCGGATTGTGTCTGAGGAGGTGAAAGGGTTGTTGGCGGCGGAGGTGAAGATGAAGCTGTTTCAAAATATTGGGGAGGGCCATAAATCGGAGACATCATGAGCTCGTGCTCAAGTATTGTTGTTATGAGAGGCTCATGAAGGTTCATTTGAGAACATTTCTACTATGAATGACGAGATGACTTAATGGATACATTTACTGCTTTTGTTCATGGTCTACTCAGTAACACTTCAAGCTGTTTGTCATTGTATGGGTCGTAATACGTCTCGTTACTGCGATTCCTGTACACTGATTACCATTGGTAGATATGTAATATGTGTGTGCTTGGATATGTACTAACACACTGCAGCAGGTGTATATGTTCAAATAAGAACAGGTCAGCACAAGGGAACGACAAGAGGGGGTAATCATGAATGAAAATGCCCAAAGCAAAGACCAATCCGTCAATAGTAGCCTGCGTCGTGAGAATTCATCATCCGAACCGTAAACAAGCCTCTTTATAAGATCACAATCAACACCAGGTGAGAGACCACGAAAGCAAAGAGAATTTGTACAGAAGGGTAAAGGGGCCCGAGCCATTGTACAGAGGTGATATGTTCGACACAATATGTAAAGTATCGGGAAAAGAAGCCGAAAAGAAATGATGACCGTCAAGGTGGACTAGAAGACAAAAGAAATGGCAGTCGTATCGATACGAGATTGGAGTTGGTCGGGAATAGATAGAGCGGAAATGGTGTCCGGCTATCAAAGGAAATGATGGAAAAGGAACGACGGGGAAGAGGTGGACCAGGAGTCTAGGCCGACATCGTAGGAGTCGCTGTAGACATCCCTGCATGTTTATGCCAGCACTGATAGAGATCCTGCGCTGCTTTTCTTTAGTCTAATGGGCCATTCTTGGGCACCATTCCTTTAAGGAAAAGAATAAGATGTCCACTGGACTGATGACGAGCGCTGAAAGTGACAGGATATCCAGGAACTTCTTTCGGACTCAAGGTGACAGAAGGGTTTGCCCGAGCTTCTTGTGCAACGGCTGCCAGAGTAGTCGATCAGAGAGATGGCGATCGTCCAGGCGAAGCCAAGAATCAGAGTGGGAATGTCGCATAGTGTCCAGGCGAATTGCATGATTGGCCAGGTGGGGGCAGACAGAGAGATAAAGGAGAAGCCCGTCGGAAGGGAGGTTCGGATCATGGATTTGGCGGCTCGTGGGACCAGCCCCCTGAGAAATAAAGTTGCATGGCGTAGCTGGAGTGAATTGCGATCGCGCCATTGGACGTCGTTCAAGCATTGTGATAGGTGGTCGTTCGGTATCTGGCCGAGTGAATAGCAGGTCGACCGGGGTGGTGATAAGGAGCCCCGGCGGAGAAGCGAGAATCGAGGCGAGGCGAGCACTACAGGAAACCCGATTCCGACAACAGTCTACGTATGGGGGAGATAGTAGGTTAGTCTTCACTCAAGCATCAAGACGTCTTCCAGAGCTCAATATTTCTTGACAAATGACCGTGTCGCCTAGGGAGATCAACCACTGGACGACAGGAACAGGAGAGGGAGGGGGAAGGGGATAGAAAAAAGCAGAACAAGCGACCTGATCAGCGCGTCGACACTACCATGCTCGCGAGAGTCAAGGCGCTCATGTCTCTACTGGTTTTGGCATACCTCGCAATTTTTTCGTCTTCCCGCTCTCTGGGTTCAACTTCCAAACTCCGATCGTACATGTCGTGCACATCGCCTGCGTTCTGAAGGTTGCTGAGGATGTAGTCCTGCAATTCAGGGACAGGCTGAAGAAGGTATGGGACGTTCTGGTACTGTTGAATATCGCGGATGACTTCTGCGGTTTTGGCGCGCTTGTTGAAATTGATCAGCTCCGACGGAGTGAGAGACGGAATACCATCTTCGATGAAGGTCAGATCCGTCAAATAGACGCCTAAGCAGCTCTGTTAGTCTCGAACAATAGCATAATACCTACAAGGGTCAGGGGCCTGCAACGAGTGCATACCAAAGAAGGGGATACAAGGCGGATTAGCCAGATGCAGAGTCTCCCGATATTCACCAAAGTTCTTCGTGCTGGCCATGAGTCGGCGCATCTGTTCGAGAACGGTGGACGTGCGCCCGCTGACCTGAGCCCATGTGCGTCCCAGTCGATGAATAGGAGCCGTTCCAAGTGCAGAGATGATCGATGTCAGTGTGGAGTAATTGTTTAGAGCGCGGCATTTCTAGTAAGCATCAGCATCTACCCTTAGTAGAGGAACAAGAGGGGGCAAAGGAATGGCACGTACATCTGCGACGTTAACAAAGTGTTTGATGACAACTACACGCTTCTTAACGTCCGATTGATTGAGAATCATCTCCGCGACCCAGTTCGTCAACTGGTTGGAATGAAGAATCAGTGCCTTCACGTTCGAAGCAGGCTCCGGTTCGTCGGGGCCGACTTTCTTCTGCCAGGTCTTGTTCAAGCACTCCGTCGGCCGAATCTTCGAGTAGAGACGCGATTCGATAATAGTGAGCTGGCGGGCGAACTCTGTAGCATCAATATCCAGGAACTTCAGCTTTTTCATGTTCTTCGGAATGATCGGCGTTGGTGCGGCAGTAGCCTGCGTGGGAACGAGACGCTTGACGGTGTTGTCTTGTCCCCGAAGGCGTTGTTCTATGACGGCCAACAGCTGCGGTGATCCGGGAGTCTTCGTAGTAGCGATAGAATCCTTGGTAAACGCATGAACATGTTGAAGGAGCGCCATGTGCGGTTCATCATTGGGTTCCATCCAAAAATTCTCGAACCAACTCTTCAGGATATTAACCACGCGGAAACGAATGGGTTTCTGCTTTCTATCGATCCACATTTGCATCTCGTCGTTGTTGAGACCGGGCGGGGGTTGGATATTGAATCGTTCGGTAACCATCGCGAAGAGTTCCTCTGCAGATGTGAATGAGCGGTAGGTCAAGAGGAAGGTATTGTTGAAGGAAGCATCAAGCTTGTCATGGCGAGTCAATTGTTCCACTAAGCCTGCCAGTGTTCCACATTTCAAGTTCAGGTTGTCATTCTTGGTATCGTAAAACACTTCACCTTCGTGATCTGTTTTCAAGAACCAGGGTGTTTCTTCCGGCTCGCGGACCGGTTCTCGCATTGCAGGCTCTCGTGGAATTGCAGCCGGAGGGGCCTGTCCAAAGAATCGCTGGGCCTTGTCCATGTTGCGTCGCACCTTCTCTGACGCGCCTTCAACCGAGTAAGAAGAGGGAATCCCGATGGACTCGGTGGCGACTCCAGCTTGGGACTCTGACCTGCTGTGAATGGCCTTCAGCCCCGCATTCTCCCCACCCAGGCGACTTTCCGCGCGGAAAGCAGAAGGCTCGGGCACCTGTTCGAGGAGCAGTGAAAGGGAGAAGCCAATTTGGGAAACATAGTTCTCGAGCTGCCGGTGAACGCCACGCACGGCATTCAATCGGTCTTCAAGCGAATCGCCGCGCAGTTCCGCCCATTCATCGCCCAGTGGTGCCGCAACGGCTTGACAGCTGAGGACGAAATCGGCAATGGCATCGTAGGTTCTCTGCTTTTGCAAGCTGAAATCAACCAGCTGTGGATTCTGGAAGCTTGTCCCCAATGGTGCTAGGTTGATAGATTCAACCGCAGACATCCACGGGCGAAACTGCTCAACGACCTTGATCGCAGCAAGTGAAACAGCATTGGCAATCTCCTCGTGCTCTCTAATGGTAACAATCTTCTTCTGGTTGAGTGTTAGTCGCTCTTCCAGCCGACGGATGCTGCCAACAAAGGATCTTCTGAGAACATCGATGTGGTCTATGAGGGCCGCGTCCAGGGTCACTGATGGCTCCGCCCGCGAATCATTTGCGTCGTGATCCAAAAAGGAGGTCGGGCCCGAGTCACTCAGAGAGACGCCGTTGTTCTGCCAGCAGCCACCCGAATAGCTGCCCACGACGAATCCAGGAACGATTCGATGGATGGTCTCGCCACGCTGTTGTCTTGCAACCTCGACGTAGCCGTAGACGCCCTGCATCACACCATCTGCCTCTTGCAGGCATTTATTGATGGAATCGGGTCCTGGCCAATCGGCGGCCGCAATGTGGGACGAGAGCACGAGCTTCGAAAACTTTGACATCATATCCCTGAAGTGGGGATACAGCGCCTTATTGGTGGAGATCACTGATGGATTTCCGGAGTGATTGTCGGTGGTGTCTGAGCCAGCCGCCAACAGCATGCGCAGATGGTCGGAGATATCTTCCGCTTTCCTCACATACTCAGAACGGTCGCCGTTCAACAGCGTTTGCCGGTAGACCTCAACGGCATGGCGCATATTGTCAACAAGCAGAGGCCAGGTCAACTGAACAGAGAACCCGTCGTCAACGAAATGCGACGGAACTTCGGAGGAGATCGAAGGCCTGTGCATGTGGTCGGAAACGGAGTTGTTACTGCTCGTAGCAGAATCATAGAACTTGTGCGAAGTCAGGAGGGACTGATGCGAGCTTTTTCCGTCGTTGATGAACTTTGTCGCAGATGGTGGGTGCAGCGAATCCATGGACGTCGCGGGAGAAACCCCATCCAAGTAGGACTGGCGTCTCCGAGACATGGAATCGCGAGATGTAAGCATCAAAGACTCGCCCTCCGCTTCCGAAGCTGAGCCGTCGTAATCATCTTCGTCCCGTTCGAACCCACGAGCCATCAACTCCGGTGGGGGTCGCGTTTGGTCGGGCACGAGGAAGTTGTTGCGGTCATAAGGGCCAGTCTCGTTGGCAGCGGGGTTTTCGAACGGAAGCTCCATGGTGCTGTAGCCGGTTAGGGTGTTGAAATAGAAGAGACGGCCATCAGGTGTCGCCTGTGGAATCCAGAAGGCTGCCTCCTCCTGCTCCTTGGGAGCTACCACGCCCTCGATAGGCAGAATAGGCTGCGAGTCGCGCGGATTGCCCGCCGAGTCAACTTCATCAGCGTCTTGCTCCTCCTCGTACTCCTCGCCAATGCCTGATTCCGCACTAACTTCCTCATTCTCATGGGTCTGCGGTGCTTGGTCTTCAAGCTCATCCAGGTCTGTTATCACAGTGCAGTAGTTACTGGGGAACCAGCCCCGCACACTATTGTCGATGACACCGTCCCACCAACCGGTCTCGAGCTGGTTCAATACCTGTATGATGTCGCCCCGGCGGAAGCTGAGACTGGTGTGATCATCGGCATCGTAGTCATACATGGCCCGCACGAACAGCGCCGGAGGCGGTTCGGGGCTGGGCGTATAGCGCCCATCGGTGGTGAGCTTCATTGAGGAGATACGCCGAGTGGGCGATTGGTCGGCGGTGAGGGAGGATTGTTGGTAGGATAGACTGTTCGCACGGCTCCGCGTGCCAGTGGTGGGGGTGGTGACTTGTTCGTCGGGGTACTCGAAAGCGGCCGTATAGGTGTTGGTCTTAGTCGCCAGCGCAGATCCGGTATCAACGGCCAATGGCTCTGCCACGCGGGAATCAAACATCGGGTATCACAACAGGTTGATAGTCCGAACAAAGGGAAACGAAGATCGGCACACTAACGTCCCCGCAACGGATGGCTGGAGGAGCTCAACGAAAGGCGTTGTTCATGACTAGAAGGTGACTGAAGACGAGAGAGCGAGGCGGAGCGGCGGTAGACGGGGGAGAGGGTCGAAGCGGTTACAAAATTGGCTGCGGAAGTGATAGACAGATAGCGGCGGTAATGGTGGTGGTGGTGGCAGGGAAGAGGATGAGTGAGATACGGGGGGACAGAAAGTGGCAGGTGAGTGGGATACTAAGACACACTTGGGGTCTTGGAGTTAGGGGGGGTAAGTAGTAAGTAAGTAACGGTGTCAGATCTGAGGTCAGAACACCATCTATCTTCGACACGAAAATCCCAAGGGGAGTTCAACCTGACATCGACGAAGAGAAAAAGAAAGGAGCAGCAAAAGAAAAGGAGAGTCGAAGCGACAGCAATCGCCAGGAGAGAGAGAGAGAGAGAGAGGGAGGGAGATTTAGGGAGGTTCCGACGATTGCCTTTGGGGGAGGTGGGCAGATTGGCATTATTGGTTTCTGGCTGGCGGTCGGGAATCCCAAGTCAGTCCAAGTGGAGTGACAATACCGCCCCGTACCATACCAGCCCGTTACCAGATACTGTCCAGACTTGAGTACGTATTATTATTCTTGTCAACTTTACTTGTTCTCTATCATTACTATTACTATTACTGACTGACTGACTGACTGACTGACTCTAGAATCTCTTAGCCCACTATTGGATCTTGACTTCTAACCCGAGTCTCTTCATTCATTGTATGTATGCAAAATATGCATACTGATACTCACTCCTGCACCCTGCCACAGTTCACACAATAGTCTAACGCACATATTATTCTCCCCATTATTCTTCAAACTCTCCTTTCTAAACTAGGTACAAAGACCTCGTCAGTGGTCAAGCTCCCGTCCGACTTGCATGTGCAGTTTCTTCCTCTTTCTCTCTTTTCTTTTTTTATCTCGTCGCCACACCCAACAATCAATCTAGAGCAGTCTTAGCCATTATTAGCCTCACTACACAGTCACCTAGCCCTCGTGTCTTACCTTGACTGCGAGAAAAATCAGAAAAATCAAGTAAAACAAATAAAACAAATAAAAATCTCGCACTCAAAACCAGTTAATATAGGATAAACAAACAGAAACACACCGTGAAGGAATAAATACCAGCGCGTATGCCAGATTACCGCTTCTTACCGACGGGAAAGCCAAAGCACAGCAACAGCACGAGCCTTCTGAGGCTTCGGATGGCACCCGTACTCCATGTACTCCGTCCGACTCGATCCCTACGATTGGAAGATGGCCAAGGTAACTGGGTAACATCTTTCC